CCCCCCCCCCCCCCCGCTGGAGGAAGTGCTGTCATGTCAGATGGCCAGCGGTGAGGAGGAGAGAAGCCGCAGCTTTCATTACTGCCGAGCGGGGAAGAGAGAGCAGCCACTGTCATCATGTCAGTTTTAGGATGACATCGGCTGTGTGCGTGGCCGAGCGGAGGATCAGTAAATATCTGTGACATTTACCGATCCTCTGTGTATGCGGTAAAAACACTGGAGTGATCATCTGATCACTCCAATGTTTGTAAATAACTGGAGGCACATAGTACTATGTCAGTAGAAAGGCATCATGGCACACTCACAAACCAGCATGTAAAACAACTTGTCTCACCACATAGTACTATGTGTCCCTAGTTATGAATTAAGTTCTCAATGGGGAGAAGCACTCAGTACAGAGGCTTCTCCCCATTCAGAAACTGGTGATAGTAAAATATTTTACTATCATTAGTTTCTGAATGAATAGGAAGCCTCTGTACAGAGTGCTCCCCATTAATTGAGTGCTGAGGCTGCAGAAAAAGAAATTGAGGACTTTGTCTCCTCAATTTATTTTTCTATTTTAAAAGGGAAATGTCGGGTCAATTTAGACCCCTAATATTTACCCGAAGTCCCCCAAAGAAGTGAGGTTACCTCGCACGTGCCCTGAGAGGTAACCGGACCAAATCATTTATCTCTCGGATTAAGGCACGATCTGGCCACATGGTGTCCTCCTCTAGTGACATGGCAGCAGTGGTGTATTCTGGTTTGGGGCTGCCCTAGGCAAGTCAAAACTCGGCGCCCCCCCCCCCCCCCAAAATCACCCCACCCCACCTACTCCATGTAAATGCCTGCACACCGCATGTAATATGTGATATGATTACATGCGGTTAAAAAACACTCTCCCTGGATGCACAAGCATTGCGTCCAGGGACAGTGATTGATTCTTAACTGAATGTAAACATATCATGTATCTTTACATGCGGTGTGTAGGCGTTTACATGCAACTGCTGTCACCTGATCATTAACTTAGGTGACAGCTGCCATTTGTAAACGCCAATTTAGGGATTTCTGCTGCAGGAAAATGCAAGTTCCTGACGCAGAAATCCCTAATACTACCTAAAATAGAGGTGTGAATGCAGCCTAATACACTTCTACAACCCCACCCCTAAAAAAAAACAAGAAAAAACCCTGTACATATAAAATAATAACCCTCCCCCCCATACACATGAGAAAATACCCCCCACACATTATATA